TAATGCAAGAGGACTCTGCTTTGCCAATTCAAGAAGAGGATGAGGTTAGAGGCTCTTTACCATGGCATCATGTAATGCTAACCAGCGTCATCAGTGGTATTTGTTTATTTACCCTCCCCCTGGCTGGCGAGGTCAGAGGTTGTCTGAATATGTCATTATGTTATCCCTGAAGATGAAGCTCCCACTGTTGGGCAGCATGACTCTGAGGTTCTGAGCAAGATTTAATGACTACACTCTCAGTGTGGTGGGTTGGCTGGTTGGGCTGGCATTACAGGGACAGGAACCTGGGAGAATGAAGTGAAGGGGTTTGACAAAGCTCTCCCCTCCCCACCCCCACCCCCAAAGACTTTCCTTACTGACTTGGCCCATCCCCGGTGCCTGGAATTCCACCTTTGGCTGTGAATGCCATTGGGCTCACAAGCCGTTTTCTACTGAAAAGGTAAAGTGCATGTTAAGTTGTGGTCAGCTTGGACCTTCCACCCCTGGCACCGTACTGTGCACATGGAATGTGCTTGGTTATTGTTTGTTGAGTTGCATTAATGTCTTAGCATGTGGCAGTTCAACAGATAACTTTGTTTTGTTTTGTTGTGCTGCCCTGCACAGCTTGTGGGATCTTAGTTCCCCTACCAGGGATTGCACTTGGGCCCCCAGCAGTGAAAGCACAGAATCCTAACCACTGGACCACCAGGGAAGTCCCGAGAAAGGATTTTCTGTATTATTATTAACCACTTTATTGCACTCCCCTGAACTACCCGCCGCCATCAGTATTGATAACAGAGAGTCATGTGCAAAGTGCAGGCATCAGTTTCTACTAGAGCAGTTGGCTCTTCCAGCTGCTCAAAAAACAACGTGGGCTGATAAAACAAGGAGCATCATTCAGCCCCTCCAAGGGGAAGACACTGTTTGTCTAAACATGGGTCTTTATCTCTACAACATGCTACCCCCACCCGCTCCCGCTGCCCATGCGAGCCTGGCTTTTTGAGTCACTCGGGCTGTGTTTTTGAACATAACGTGGGGGAAGAAGAGCTTCCACGGTCTGTTCAGCTCTGGCTCTGAAAAATACAAGCCGCGTTCAACTGAATGACAGAAAGAAATCTGTGGAGCCAGGGAGCGTAGTAAATACCGTGACTCTCTGCAAATGTGCACAGCCCAAACAGCTTTTTCCAGTCTGGAAAAATGAAGAGATGTGTCTGTGCAAAACCAGCCAAGCCTCCACCCCTCCTCCCTTTCCACTGCGCCACCCCCCACCTCCTGGCAGGGCCTCCCACCCAGCCCCAGACATTCAGTCATCAGCTTTCATCCTTTGTGACATGCTTTGCCCCAGGAAATAACATTGCCCAGGCTCTGGGGAGATGTCCCAGCCTCTCCCAGGCTTCTGAGGGCCGTCTGTCTGGTTGGGTGTCTGTCTGGATGGGTTTTGCCAGTCGTCTCCGACCTTGGCCAGCTTTGGCTCACGGCACTGTGGTTCGGGAAGCCGGGTGGGTCTGGTGTCTCTTCTTCCCTTGCTCACTCCCTGCTGCTCTTCCCCTCCATCTTCCCCATTTTGCTTTGAAAGAACCTTTATCCCATCCCGACTTCCATGAGACAGTGTTTAGAGGGAAGGCTTGCACAAGGGGAGGGTTTAAAAGCATTCGCTTTGGACTGGCACAGGGGGTGGAGGTGGGACAGGAAATTTCTCAGTGACTCCGAGACCACCAGGGCCAGCTTCTAAAGGGGGTACAGCTTCTAAAGGGGAGGGGCTTATAGGGAACGTCTGGGTCTGCACCTTGCCTTGCAGATGCATTTGTGTAGCCGCTCTGCTGTTTTTTCTCCGATGGTATGTTTAGGAACAGGGAAAGCGCCAACAGAGACACCTGTCTCCTGGAATGTTGACCCCAGAGACCACACATCCAGCTGCAGTTCAGTGGGTTGGGGGGGCGCTGGGAGGGGGACTGGAAGCAGTGGGTGTGAACCGTGATTCCTGAGTGGGGGCGCTGCGTGTCCTTCACCGCTGTTTCCGTAGCGCCGAGGGCCAGCCTGCCAGCAGCACGTGCTCCACTAATAGTTGCTGAGTCAGTGAAGGAGCGAATGAGCCCACGACCTTGGATACTTTGCCTCCTTGAACCTCAGTTTCTTTCTCCGTAAAAAATACGTAGGGATGTCCCTGGTGGTCCCATGGCTGACTCCACTCTCCCAAACCAAGGGGCCCGGGTTCAATCCCTGGTCAGGGAACTAGATCCTGGTGCAGCCAAACAGATAAATAAATAACATTAAAAAAAAAAAATCTAACCTGCCTGGTTCACCAGGTGAGTGCTCACGTGTGTGCATGTGTGTGTGAGTGTGTGAAAGGGAGAGATACAAAGCAGTGTGAATGTCCTCTGTGGTAAATTGGAATCTGAAAGTCAGTTTGACTCAGGTTCTGGGCTTTACCCTTAGTGTTTGTGTCTTTCCTCAGAATAAGGGTCTACATTTGTGTCCCCTGAACATTTTGTTCTCCATGCTAATATTCTGAGCACCCTAACGACTGGAGTGCATTTTTTTTTATTTTTTGAACTTTTTGGCCATGGGGCATGTGAGATCTAAGTTCCCTAACCAAGGATCAAACCCACACCCCCTGCATTGGAAGTGTGGAATCTCAACCACTGGACCACCAGGGAAGTCCCTGGGGAGCATTTTAAATGCTAACTGAGCAGTTTAAATCAGAGAACAACATCAACCAAAAAACTCAGAGAACAATGATTTTCAAGGTTGGCTTCTGACCAGTGCCATGTTGGTCCCATGCGTGGCTCCAGAACTCCACGAACTGCGCCCCCCCACCCCACCCCCACACACAGAGGATGGAGCTCACCTTAGCTTAAACAGCAGGTTTTCATCCAATGCTCGGGGGAATGTGATCCTCAGATCTCTGCTAGTGCTGTTTCCTCTGCCTGAAATGTTCCCTCTCCCTATTGCTTGGCTCATTCTAACTCATCCTTCAGATCTCAGTTTAGACCTCAGTTCTCCCAGAATACGTTTCCCACACCCCGCCCCCAAGCCTATCAGGTCACGCCTTCTCCTCCATGGCCTATCCTTATCCACGTCCCCTGTCTGAGAATGGAATCTTCCCATTCACTCGCCTGCCTCCTTCATAAACTGTGGACCCCCTGCAGACGAAGACTGTGTCTTTCTTGTTCATCGATGTAATCTCAGTGCCTATCACAGTGCCATATGCCGAGAAGGTGCTCAATAAATATATATTGATTAGATGAATAGCAAAAGTGTGTTGGTGAGATGAGAGAGACAGGAGTCAAGAAGGTTCTCTTGAGTCTTGTATTTACTGAAGTATAGAAACAACACTTCTCCTTTCTCCTCCTACCAGAATGGCTTGCATACAAATGAAGCGTGCAAATCCTCCCCCCCACACACACACCCCGAGATTCACGCACACACCCTGCTGCAGGCAATCGCTTGTGCAATGTACTTTCCCTTGGTCTGAAACTCTGCCTCTTCTCAACTCCTCCCACGTAGCTTTCTCATCCCATGTATACAGGGAATTGCAAACCTAACTGGCAGAGTAAAGGTAATGCCAGGGAAAGAGATTCCTTGATCACACCTTTGTGACTTGCTGGATCCAGGTTCCCCCACCAGGGATCGAACCCAAGCCTCCTGCAGTGAAAGCAAGGAGTATGAACCACTGGACCTCTGAGAATTCCCATGCCTAAAATCTTTTCTCATCTCTCTCTGCCCTCTAAATTACTGCACCATCCCATTGTGAGGACATTCTACTTACCTTTATTATGTACAAATCTGGAAGACACCTGAACTAAAAAAAAAAAAGAAAGCTAAAAAAAAAAGAAAGACAGTTTAGTGCATGGTTCTGCCAGTTATTCAGAGTCCTTGAAAATGTGTCTTTGGGCAAATAGCTCCCAACTCTGTGCCTCTTTTCTATCTTGCAGAGAGGAACAGAAGTTGTCCTCAAAGCACCACGTGACTTTTAAAAGAACTTTTTATTTTATATTGATGTACAGCTGATGAGCGATGTTGTGATAGTTTCCGGTGGACAGCAAAGGGACTCAGTCATACTCATACATGTATTCATTCTCCACCCGCAAACTCCTCCCCATCATCCAGGCTACCACAGTCTGACTTTTTGGGGGGGAAGAAAAGAGCTCCTTAAATATGCAGTATACTGGTCATGGTTTTGTTGAACCTGAGAGACAGGAAGGTATCACTTGCTCTTTCACAGGCAGGTGAATTTTAAGTTGTCTTGAAGGTTATCTCAAACTTGGCTAGAGGCTGAAGTGTCGACTTGCCTCTCCTAGAGAAAAAGTTCTGAGCTGGCCATGTGAACTGCCTTGGGGAGGAGAATCTCCAAAGGGGATGGGAGGGTGATTGGTAAGGACCCAACTGGCAGCTGACCCAGTGTGATAACATGACAGAAGCCTCCAAGTGTTTTATGAACCAGGGATCAGTAGGCAGGGCCACCTCCTTCCTGAAGGAGGAGCCTCTGCCCCGTGGCTGCATCTGACCTCCTGGCTGCTTCTCCCAGTGGCATGCTGACCACGTGTAGAGCCCCTAGGTTGGAGCCGCACACTGGGGCTAACCACCAGACAGATCTTACTGAGCTCATAATGTCAGCCTTTGCAATATTGTTCATCTGAAATCAGTTCCCAAATTGGAAGACTTCATGTAAAATCCAGATCTCCACGTCTGTAGAAAAATGCAAGATCTGGTAACACCAGGCTCACATTCTCCCACAAGAATAACAAGTCAGAGGTCAGCAGCCACTGTGCCTTCCTGAGAGGACGTGCTGTTTACAGACCCCACTGCTACCGCCCGGGCTCCGGCAGGCTAAAGCTGGTTTCCCTAGTGGCTCAGTTGGTAAAGAATCCACCTGCAACGTAGGAGCTTGCCTGCCATACAGGAGACCAGAGTTTGATCCCTGGGTTGGGAAGAGCTCCTGGAGAAGGAAATGGCAACCCACTCCAGTACTCTTGCTTGGGAAATCCCATGGACACAGGAGGCTGATGGGCTGCAGTCAGTGGGGTCACAAAAGAGTCAGACATGACTGAGCAACTAAACCACCACTACCACCTCCTCCAGGCTGAAACCAGTGTCCACTACCTTTCATCACTAATGGTACCTGCTGGGCCCCTGAAGTCACCTGCAGATTTCTCCCTGTAAGAACGCTTTACCGCCTGAGCTACTGGAGAAGCCTCAGGTCTCTCTCTCCCTGGATGGGGATCTTCTGTCCCCCGGATGCTTCAGGAGCACCTTTCCTCCTCCCTCGCCCTGTTGATGTTGACGTGTACAGTATTTCAGGGCCCAAGACTGGGCCTGAAGTCTTTCTGCCTGTAAGTCGTACGTTGCCATCATCATGAAGAAATACCAGGCCACAGGCTAAGGAGCAGGCAAGGACCTGTTCTTCCCTTCCCAGATAATACACTCCCACATCAGCAATAACCTTCCGGGAATCATGCCCATGACTTTCCTTCTTTCTATTCCATTAGTGACTTTCAAAGTGGATGTTTCAGCCAGATAAAGGAAGCAGACTGCACTTATCAGACCTCCTGCAGGGTGAGCATTTGGGGGTGGGGGGTGGGCAGTCAGCTTTCCTGTGATTTGCACTCATACCTGGGAAGTCAGCATCTGCCGGGTCATGGAGGTGCGTTCTCCTAAGGAAGGAATCAGGCCTTGCTTAACTTTGATCACTGCAATCACTGTTCTCCTTGCCCTTCTTTCATAAACAAGGAAATTGGAACAGAGCTAAGAGAGGCTTTTTCATGCACTTTAGGAAAGAATGAGCAATGGAAAAAGGAAATTGAGAGCTTTGGGGGAGTTTATAGCAGAGGAGTCGTTGAGTTTGAAATCGGAGCTGGGAATCCATATGTTTGGGAGGAAAGAAAAGAAAAAGACCAGCCACACGCACAGAGCTTCAAGGGTCTGTGCGGAAACGGTTGTGGCAGAGGTGGCGGGGAACCCCACGTGGGCTTTATCAGACCCAGATGTTCAGGCAACAGTCCTCAGGATGCCCATGAAAGGGGCTGGAGCCAGAGCCTGCTGAGCCAGACCCAGTGTTTTCTTAACTACCGAGGAACACATGAAATCGGAACACGTGAAATCGGTGGCTGGGAGCCTTCCCCACTGGCACTCTTAGCCCTGAGACCCTGCCACCGCCTGTGCCACAGCAGTTACACACAGGCTGGGCCGCCTCCGGGCGAGACAGATGTGGACGGGAGAGGCTCATCTTGTCCCCATCCTTGCCTGTCAGTCCCGGTCAGGCAAGGGCTGCCAACCTGCCTCTGCTACCTTCCACCCCAGACTAACCTTGGAATACAAGAGTTGGAAAGCCTGGGTTCGATTCTACCTTGTGTAAGTGACTTAGCCTCTTTGAGTCTCAGTTTTACCATCTTTAAAATGGGGAAAAAATCATTTGTCAGGGGCACACAAGATATGCGTCAAGGGATCTGCAAAGAATAAACCATAAAACATATTTTTTAAAAAATTATTCATTATACTTTATAATATCACTATGGAAAATTTCAAATGTATGCTCATGTAGACAGAATAAACCCTCACACACCGGTAACCTTGCTTCCACAATGACCAACTAATGCTCAATCTTATTTCATCTATAGTTCTACCTCCTCTCCCCATCCCCCTGTTATTTTGTAGCATATCTCAGATAGCTTGTTATTTGATCCCATTATCCAAATTACATGGCTGACTTGCTCCCTCAACCAACTGAAATGTACCCTATTCTCAGATATCCCTTGTTGCACCTTTTTCCTCTTTTAGCCCCACCGTATACCTAGTACCCTAAACCCCTCTTCAAGCCATTATTCCTATGAAACTGTCAGCTTAGATTTTAAGCCCTGGGTTTTACCAGACTCAGGGATCTGCAGAGAAAGGAGTAGAACTCTAGGGGATTCCCTGTCAGTCCAGTGTTTAGGACTCCATGCTTCTACAGTTGAGGGTAGGGGAGAGGGCTGGAGAAAGAGTTCAATCCACTATGGGCAATGACTTAATCCGTCATGCCTATGTGGTGAGGCCTCCATAAAAGCCCCAAAAGGACTCTCCTCAGAGAGCGTCCTGGTTGAACATGTGAACTGGGGAGAGTGGTGAGCTGGAGAGGGTATGGAAACTCTCCACCCTTTCCCCTCCATCACTGGTTGGGGAACTGGGATCCCACATGGCATGTGGTGTGGCCAAAAAAAAGAGAGAGAGGATAGAAGTCTAAAACATAGACACTGAAGCATCATTCCTTGGAAGGAGATGATATTGGGCCACTCCAAGCCCTCCAGGCCTTTGACATCCAAGCTTAAACCCTGCAGAAGTTGACTAAGCTCCTTCTCTATTGGTGCTTTTCTTCCAGGAAGAGGGCACATGGGGGGGGCAGAGATCACCAAGTGAATTAGGTCCTCCCTCAACCATTGGCTGCAGGAGAATCAGGGCGCTCTTCTGCCAGCAGATGCTCTGAAAGTGAAAGGGTTAGTTGCACAGTTGTGTCTGACTCTTTGGGACCCCATGGACTGTAGGCCACCAGGCTCTTCTGTCCATGAGATTCTCCAGGCAAGAATACTGGAGTGGGTTGCCATTTCCTTCTCCAGGGGATCTTCCTGACTCAGGGATCGAACCTAGGTCTTCTGCATTGCCTGGCTAGAGTCTGTGATGGAGCTGATTGTGAGTCTTAGATGTATTCCCAACCCCTGGAGAGTGGATAGAATGCAGGCTCCGGATACCAGGAGACCTAGTTCAAGTCTGCCTGTACTACTTAACATCCCTTCTCTGTGCCCTTTTCTCTTTCTCTGTAGAGGTTCCAGTACCTAGCTCACAGTTGGTGAATAGATTAAATGAGGTATTAGGAGGATTAAATGAGGTATTAGGAGGATTAATGAGCCATTAGGATTCTCTTGGTAACCAGGGACAGAAAATCCAACCCAAGACACCTTTGGGCAAAAAAGGAACTTGGGGGCTTATCTTAAGCTGAGAAGTCCAGGGGTGGTGAAAAGGTTTCGGACCCAATTTCCATTGTGTGATTTTGGGGTCGGTTCCCACAACACGAAGGAATTCTTTGAGATGCCAGCTGAGTATCCCACAATTCAATTCAGTTCTGACCCCATCTACTTGGAGATAGTACCAGATCCCACAGGTTACATGACTGCCCTTCACTCCAAGCCCACCCCATGTCAGACACCAATGATAAGTCCAGCCTCTGCTTCTGACCAATCAGCTATAAATCAGAGATTCCCTGGACCTCTTCCTCCAGTGTTTTTAATTTGCTAGAGCAGCTCACAGAACTCAAAGAAACTTAGTAGATTACCAGTTTATTATAAAAGGATGTAACTCAGGAACAGCTAAATGGAAGAGATGCGTGAGGAAGGTGAAGCGAAAGGGTGGAGAGTTTCCATACCCTCTCCAGCTCACCAGTCTCCCCAGTTCACGTGTTCAACCAGCAAGCTCTCTGAATAGAGTCCTTTTGGGGTTTTTTGGAGGCCTTACCACAGAGGCCTGATGGATTAATTCATTGCCCACAGGGAAATGAATTCTGTCTCCAAGCCTCTCCCCTCCGGGGAAGTCCACAAGGGTGAGACTGAAAGTTTCAATCTTCTAATCACTTGTTTGGTTCTCTTGGTAACCAGCCCCCATCCTTAGGCACTTTCCAAAAGCCACATTATTAACATAACAAAGGACACCTTTATAGCTCTGTTCACTAAGGAAATTCCAAGAGTTTTAGGACCTCCATGCCAGCAACTATGGAAAAAGACCAAATATTTCTTATTATAAATCACATTATCACTGGTGGCCTTGGCTGGGTTTGGGGTTCTAATGTCAAAATCAGGACTTGATTTCCCTCTGCTTCTTGGCTCCATCTTTTATGTTTCAACTTGAGTTTTGGGTTAAAGTTGTAAAGAAGATGACAGCATCTGTTTTAGCCCTTGTATCCTTTCCAGATCTTCAGCGATAATCTCTTTCCCAAAAGTCCTAGGAAAAGTCTCACTGACCCTGATTGGGTCACATGACTATCTGTGACACAGTCATGTGATCCAGGGAAATGAGATGCACTCATCTGCGTAGGCAGAGCCCTTGGATCTGTATAACTGGGGGGCCGGGGAGGAGGGGTGTGTGTGTAGGTGATTATTAGAAGGAAATTGCAGAGGGAATTGGGCAAGGTTACCAGAACGAATGTGACTAAGCACTGGTGACAGTATTGAAGATATTCACTTTAGATGCTTTGTAAATCTTTGGGCACATTATCAAAGCTCATGAAAATGATTTTTTTTAAATTCCCTTCTATCTCATGAATTATTTTTATTCTTTTTCAAATATCTGAGCCACCAGGGAAGTGGGGGTTTTTCAAATATGTGCTACATCTTTGATCTTATTGCAGTCCTAGGAGACAGACAGGAGGACTGGTATTATCCGCTTTTACAGATGAGGATATCAGGCACAGAGCAGGTTAAGACTTTGGCCACAGTCACACATCAAGGTCATATGGGTGTGATGGCCGACAGTCCCCCTTAACATGAGAGTGTGTGCTCAGTCCTGTCTGATTCTTTGTGACCCTGTAGACTGTAGCCTGCCAGGCTCCTCTACCCATGGAATTTTCCAGGCCAGAATACTGGAGTGGGTTGCCATGCCCTCCTCCAGGGGATCTTCCCCATCCAGGGATCGAACCCCTGTCTCCTGCATTGCAGGCAGATTCTTTACCACCTCGCCACCATAACTGGCTCTGAATTCCCCGGCAGACCCACTGGAACTGGAAACTGGGATGTACTGTGTATGGGTTAATCAGGACCTGACAGGGAGTTTGGATCAGGTGCCCAGGTTCGTTCCAAAGTAAGCAGTGTAGACTGGCAGCAGTCTGGGTGGGTCAAGTATCCATCACTGATGCCTGGCAGATGGCAGCAGAGAAACCTGGTACATAGGCCAAGCCTCTGCCACTCCAGGGACACCCTCTCATGACCCACTCCCTTTACCACAAGGAACTGAGTACAGGGCTTAGTTTTCCTCATCCCAAGAAAAAAAAAAAACCAGTGGGGAAAAAAAAATGAGGGATAGGGGAGGGCTAAGGCTGTGTTTGTTGCTGGGCTGGCTTCTCCCAAGGGAAATTGGTCCCAGAGCCAAGAGTGTCCTTTGCCAAGAAGTGGAGAGAGAGAAGAATCCCCAGTCAAATGGGGGTGGTTTGGCCAGAAGTTCTCGGGATCCTCTTAAGTGTTGTTGGGCTCTCCAAGTATTAGTCACTCAGTCATGCCCGACTCTTTGTGACCCCATGGACTGTAGCCTGCCAGCCTCCTGTGTCCATGAAATCCTCCAGGCAAGATTACTGGAGCGGATTGCCATTCCCTCCTCCAGGAGATCTTCTCGACCCAGGGATTGAACTTGGGTCTCCTGCATTGCAGGGCAGATTCTTTACCATCTGAGCCACAAGGGAAGTCCTGGGCTCTCCAAAGAGCTTCTCAAAACACAACACCCCTCTTCCACATCCAAGTTCTTAACACATTGAATCAAAAGACAAAGGAATGGCAGAGAGCCAAGGTACCACCTTAATTATCACGAAAGCTAGCATGGGCGATGTCATTTAGTGGAAGGACAAAAACTGGCTTCCTAACAACCTGGAAGGCAGAGGGAACGGAGCGGAACGTGGCGGATTGGCCTTCCTGAGCTTTTCAGTCAGATGTCATTCCGTGGGCAAAGGCAGTGAGAGTCAAGATCCAAAGTGTATTTAGGGAAAATCCCTCCTCATGGAAACCAGAAGTGGGGAAAACATGTGACCGTGGCAAATTATTCATCTCTCTGGGCATCCGTCTCTTCTGGGCACAATGGGTGATGACAGTGCCTCCCTCGGTGGTAAGGACTGGCGGGGTGGGGGGTGGGAGCGGATACTGTGTGTGACAGCCCCGGCGTGTAGTGATCACTCGGTAAACGCTGCCTGTCTCTGTGCAGAGTCCAGGTTCATGGCAGGTGGCCTTGCTTTTCTCTCCAGCACCGAAGCCCAGGGCCCCCTGAGTCCCGCTGTGTTTGTGTTCGGGCTCTTTCTCTCCAGCTGTAAAAATTCATGAGACTGTGGGTGTGCAGCGGCTTCGCAGTTCTTGGCTTCTTCCCAGGCTGTGTTCTCCCCACTTGGGGGGCGGGGGGGTGGGGTGGGGTGGCAGACATCCTCTCCGCAGTGGTGGGAGCCCTCTCCTCCTCCCCACCCCCAGGCCCTGTCCCAGCAGAGCCTGGCTCAAAGTTCAAAGCCGAGGTGGCTTTGTTGAGCAATTCGGTGACACTGCCTGCCCCCCCCCCACCCCGCCCCCGCCATCTGAGGGGATGGCTCCCTCCCACACACCCATTTGCCGAGCATCTGCTGCCCTGTGTTTTGCGGTGTGGAGGCTGGGAACGGGCACGCCGCCCCTACTGACCGCCGGGAGGCTGCGCTTCCTTCCTCTCCCCGCTGCCCTTGGGCTCCAGGCCTCAGAGCCTCGCGCGGGGAGGTTTCAGATCCGCTCCCAGGCTGCCTGGCGCGGACTGCATCTGGACTCACCCCAGCCTCTTCCTCCTGGGGGTTCAGAGTGTTCTTGGAAGGAAGCCTGGGAAGGGAAAGGCCTTCCCCAGCCTTCCCCATGCAGCGGTTGGCCGACAGCAGAGACCCGAGCTGCCAAGGGCTCCGGAGTCAGACAGACCCGAGTTCAAATCCCTGGGTGACCTTGGGCAGGCCGCTGTCTCCACACTTTGGTTTCCTCTTAATGAAAAAATGTGACAGCAACAGGAGCTGCCTCGTGGGCTCTTTGCCAGGATTCAACGAGACGCTCACTGTGAAATGCTAACCCCACCTCTGGCAAGTGGGGCGTGCTGAGAGATGGCAGCCTTTGAGCATCAGGAGGGGATCTTCCTCCCCAGGAAGGGAGGGAACGTCACCTATTTGGCCCATCCCACCTCCCAAACGAGACCCCTGGGTAGTTACTCTGACTTGACCAAATCGGGTTTTTTATTTTTATTTTTTATTGCAGAGACCTTTTGGGCAAGGACTCTATCTCATTTATCTTGTAACTCCCCCACCTAGCATGGTAGCTGGC